AGACATACAGACAGACATACAGACAAACAGACATTCAGCTTTATATATAAGATTAGGTTGGTGCAAAAGTTTTGTCAGTTTTTTTTCAATCCATCAGCAAAGCCTCTAGAATGCAGATAAACAAACACTTCAAAATGCATCCGATGCAGAATTTTTCCTCATTCCAGACTCTAAACTCCCATTGTGTTTCATTGCAAGAGTGACGAGATATTTGCTGGAAATTGCAAACACTCTTTTCATGCCCAAATTTCGCTAATTTTCAAAATTTTTGTGTGAGACTTTCGGAGGAGCACTTATAACCAGCAGATAGGGCAAACCCTTTGCCAACTAGTGCAAGTTTTTGTAGCCCTACCGCTTGCTTTTCAGATTTTCTATGATTTATTTTTTGAAGTGACCAAATTTTACATTCAGCCCATTTTAACCTCGTAGAACATAAAATGTTAAACACTTCAGTCACCATTCGATGCAACTCCTTCTCCTTCTTCTAACACTTGTCTTTTTTGGCCGAGGCAGGCGAAATTTGTGGAAAATAATCGCAGTATTTCTCAATTTTAGGAGTGCGCACTGACGTGACCTATGTTTCAAAATCTTTATAATTTGAAGCAAAAATTGCTCATTTACTAGTCGCGGTAATAATAGTCGTGTGCTGAAACCTCAGTATTTTGTAGGTTTTGCAGTGTTTGGTGCAGTAACAGGTTATGCAATTTTTCCAAAACACAAGACTTTTAGAAAATTATTTAGCAAAAATCTGGAAAAGCAGCTGATAAAAAGAAAAAATTGCATTGTCAAAAGTTTGATCTCTGGTGTTTAACAAAACTTCTCCGAAAGTCTCGTACAAAAATTTTGAAAGTTAATGAAAGTTGGACACGGTTACGAATGGTTGCAATTTCCAGCAAATATCTCGTCACATTTGCGATGAAACACAATGGGAGTTGAACAGCTGGAAAGAGGAAGAAATTCTGCATCGGATTCATCTCGAAGTATTTGTTTATCTTCATTCTAGCGTGTTTGCCGATGGATTGAAGAAACTAAAGTTTTTACGCCAACCTAATATAACAGGTTGTCCCATAAGTTCCGTCCGTTTAAACTTAAATCGCAATGAGTCATGAGCTTCTTGGTTCTAGACAGGTTGTAAGGTACCATTCGATAGAGCAAAGCAAGCTCTAAAAGGTGGCTTTCTTAATTTTGCACTAATTTAAATCCATCTCAAGTTTGAAGCCAAATTAAAAAGATCTAACTGCCCGAAAAATAAAGAAATATCGTAACTTTTTCCAAAAAAAAATCCTAGAAAAGTCCTAATTTGCTTACAGATACGCTATCCATTTCAGCAATCTATATAGACCGTTCCTGTATTTTTTTCTTGGATAGAAATCAAGAATACGAAAATTTTCATGTTCTTGCCAAAGTGAAGCTGTGCTGTACCCACGTTGGTATTTGTGTACTACAGACCAATACAAGTACAGACACAAATTTTTAGCGCTCTGCAGGCATTAGTTCTCGAGAAACATTGAATTTAGCTTCGCACAGTCGGGTGTCCCATATTGAAACGATTATCTCTTGAGAACTAAAGCATGTAGAGCGCAGAAAATTTATGTCTGTACTCGCCTGTATGTTGGTGTGAGAACAGCGCAGCATCACTTTGGCAAGAACATGAAAATTTTCGTTTTCTCGAATTCTATTCAAGGAAAAAATACAGAAACAATCTATATAAATGGCTGATGTGGATAGCCTATCTGTGAGCAAATTAGAATTTCCCATGATTTTTTCGGAAGGAGTTACGATTTTTGTTATTTTTCGGGCGGTTAGATCTTTTGGTTTTTGACTTCATACTTGAGATGGATTTGAACTGATGCGAAAGTAAGAAAGTCATCTTGTAGAGCTTGCTTTGTTCTATTGAATGGTACTTCAAATTCTAGTCTAGAACCAAGAAGTTCATGACTTATTGCGAGTAAAAAAACGGACGATGGGACAACCTGATAGTAGGTTGATGCATAATTCCTGCACCAAAATAGGTACAGACCGCAATAATCCGCAATATTCTTACATCCCAAATAGGACTCGATATATCATTAAATAGAGCAAACCTAGGTCTACAAGACAGTGCTCAAGTATCAACACCAGCTTTGATCCACGCAAAGTATTGAGCCGAAAACTGAAAAATCCATGCGCCAGAAAACCTTAAGACCACTGAAAACAAAATTGCAACTTCGTTCAAAAAGCTCCTACAAAATTTCTTTCTTGCTCACGCGTAGACCTTCACGTAAGACATTTATCTATGTGATTGCTGTGGATTTTCTTAGCTAGACGATGAGAAAACGAAGTTTTCATGTTTTCGCCAAATTTTGTATAGTACATGCCATTAGTAGTAAAGCTTTACATTTTCAGCCTTCTAGAACTGGTAGTTCACAAGAAATGACGAATCTAGCTCTTCTAATCCGAAGTTTTTCTTGCCTACTCAGACAAACGCCGGGGGCAGGCGGGCGCCGGAAAATGCGCGTTGCTGGAATTTCGCATTCCGCTCCCAAATTTAAGGAAAATGTACAGCGAGATTTTGAGAGACCGCCTGTTAGAAATTTTTCGCTCTTATCTTTTGCAGATATATTGCTGAATCTCTGAGGAATCGAGAACTCAGCAAGCGGCGTCCCGAAAAGTCGTGATTGCTTTCTAAAAAAATCCGCGAGCGTGGCGCAAGAAATCAGCCATCTGTTTTTCCGGTGCCCGCCTGCCCCCGGTGATTATCTGAGTAGTTGATAAAAATTCGATTTCTTGTACACCAGCTGCTGTAATCGTAAACCAGCTGCTGTAAAGAGCTGAAAATTCACACTCACGCTTCGAAGGTCCTGTAGTATACAATGTCAGTGCTAGAACATCTCAGCATTGTTTTGGAAAAAATATAAAGACTTCGTTTTCTTAATTTCTGGCTGAGTGAAAAATACAGCAACTGCATAGAGAAATGTCTTACACGAAATGACAATGCAAGAGTATGTTAGAAATTTTGTAGGATTTTTCTGAACAAACTTCCATTTTTCTTGGTTTTTTGGGCGCTTGGATCTTTTTGGTTTTTGGCTTCAATCTTCGCTTCGATCAAAGCTGCTGCAGAACCTTAAGCACTATCCTGTAGAGCTAGGTTTGCTCTATTTAATGATATATCGAATCCTATTTGGGGTATATTGGATTATTCAGGATTGTTTCGGTCTGTATCTAATTTGATCAGGAATTATGCATCAACCTAATATTAGATCGTTCCGAAAGTAATGTCGCTTTTTTCGAATAAACACCGCTATTCGTGGAATCAACATTTTCAAGAGATCTTACGAGCATTCGATGCACCATTTCATCCTCTTTCTAGAGGTTCTAATTTCACTGCATAATGTTAAATGAGCTCTCAAAAAATCACCAAAATCTGCGACTCATGCTTTTTACCATGGTCAAGTTCGGCTATTTTTCTAAATTTTCTTACCTAATCTCCGAAAAAGTACAAGTGGCAGGTAGATAGAGCAAGCACTATAAAATACAGAGTAATTTCTTCTTTTCCTTACCTTGCTTCTCAGATTTTCAACAATCAATTTCTCAATGCCATCAAATTCCATATTAAGTCAAGTAAAACCTCACGAACAACAACCGACAAGCGACTCGGGTGTCATTCGATACAGCTTTTTCTCCTCTTTCTAAAGGTTGTTTTTTGTTTCCTCATCAAGTTTTCCGGAATAAAAACATCATAGTTCAACTTTTTTAACGCACCCCAAGGTGTACCCGAAATTTTCGAAAGTTGCTAAACCGAAGCGATAAATGCTCGCTAGGTCTGTAAAATTGTTGCCAAACCATAATCCACCTTTGTAAGTTTCAAAATCCGAAGATTTATTGGTGTTTGATGCATTTGTGGATAAGAAGAGCTTGCTGAAACTCGGTGGTTCCATCAAAAAATCAATACAAAAATTATGACGAGCTCTGGAAAGTAGAAAAGAGTTGGTTGTTTCCTATAGGGTTTGCTCCATCCATCCATTACTTGGACTCCTTCTGAGGTTTGTTATAAAATTTTAGAAAATTTGTGAAACTTGGCCATCTCAAAAAGCATAAATAGCAGATTTTGACTCTTTTCTGGAAGATCATTGAATGTATTGCAACAGCTTCATAACCGTTAGAAAGAGAATGAAATGCTGCATCGAATGGTACCAGAATCTCTTACACATAATTGTTCCACGAGATGTGGCATACGTTTTAAAAAAGCGACATTACTTTCGGAACGACCTAATATATTGATAAATTCTAATATGAAGTGAGGACTTGGTAACAAGACTGCTCCCTCCTTTTTTTGCCACAGAGTGAAACTGCAAATCAGACTTACAAGGCGCACTCCAATTGAACCATTTTGCAAGGCTGATACGATCAAGGGAAAATCGTATACTTGAAAGTGGCAGAGACCAATTTTTCTAAAGGTGGTTTTCGATTCGCCAGCTCGCCAAACCTTGGTCATGGCTTATTCCAAAAGTTCTATCCGTTTTCGACGTTCAACTTCATTCACCAAATCTATCTTCAGAAGTGATTATTGCAACTGTGATGAGATGTGCTACATCCACAAATGCATAGTAATTTAATACATTCCCAAAAATTATTGCTAAATAGCGAAAATAATTTTCTAGGCAGAGAAGGCCAAGCATCTTATCGAGAGACCATAATTTCACTTCCACTGTGACTGCACAAGCACTGCTTGTTGTGTAATTGGTAGCCGGCTAAGCAAATATCATAGTTCAAATACACTCAATTTTTTAAATGAATTTTTGTAAAAAACACACTTGTTTCGCTTCCTTTGAAGTGAAAATGAGCATTTTTTCGAATTTTTCGATTTCATTGGCCACGATATGAGTATTTTCTTCGTTTTTTACATCAGTTCAAGCACTGCGCTATCACAGGTTGCATGCATATAGGCACACACAAGTACAAATTTTTTGCTGTAATTTTGTAGAGACATCACTGCTTTTGCTCTGATATACTACTTGCAGATGAACCGCTTCACATAAATTTGGGGTCTTTGCAAATGCCGGTGGTAATAAATCCTCATCGCAATGGCTATTATAGACAGAATTATGACAGTGTTGGATGGGAGCTTATAGCAGCGCAGTTTACACGAAATTCGGTAGGTTTGTTTTGGTATTTTTGACCAATTCTTAATATCACCACAAGCTTAGTTGTTTCGTGTTGGTAAAGGCATTATGACGTTGGTCAGCTAATAGCTTACAGGTGTTTGATCGATATACGAGATACGTGCTTTTGAGCGATGCATTTTCTGCAGCTGCTATCGGTCAGCTGGAATACGAACTTGTATTTAAGCTTATTCGGTACGCTTACTCATCCAAAAAAGGTGAAAAGGTAAACCATTTTTGATTGTGACTAAATCTATAGTTTCAGCTCTAATAATAGTACTGGGTTAATAAGACAACTTTCTTTTTACATAATAGTTGAAGGAAGAGGCTACTTAAGCACATCGAAACCAAGGGATTCTACCAATAAATTTTCAAAACATAGGAAATTTTCAGCTTATGCAACAATCCGCCGTAAATATGCTTTCTATCAGATAGTCTTTTCGCATGGGTAAACAATGAGAAATACAGACCCCTAAAGCAATATAATTCAAAGGGTTTGCTGCTGCCCGCACGAGTTACTGTAACGTCCAATCTCCGAAATCTCTTGAAATTTCAAGAATGCTTGAATCCTGTCACTTTCGTCGAGTGTCTTGATTTGGTACATTCAAACATTCGAACATATTTGCATTCGAAGTTCGAAACTCGGAATTTTCTATTTTCGATTACAATTCGATAACTCGAAATATTGAAAACCGAAATTTCAAACAATCGAATGTTTTATTCGAATGTTTCATTCAAGTTCATATTCAAGTAAAAGTCGTATCCGAATCATTTAAATTTGGTGCAGAATCAGTCACGTTGACTGAGTTGGGTAGGTAGCAAGTTTAAATATGATTGTTCTAAATGTTTGATCAAATCACTCAAAAACATCAAAAACTCAACCCTTAATGTTTGATTATCGGTTTCGTTCATTCGAACTTTTTACAAAATTTTCGAATTCTTCGGAAGTCATTTGTCCAAATGTTTGAGTTTCGAGATCGTTCGATATTCGTTTATTTGATACTTTCAATTTTCGAATATCACTAACTATTCATCAGAAAACTCGTATTCGATTTTCTTTCATTCGATGAAAATTTCCCAAAGTATACTGCATAGAATTTTTTTCTTCAGACAGGTGATCTACGAATTCTGAGTTTTTACGACGTTTAGACTACAGCTCTCAAGTGTCTTACGTAATTTTTCGCTAATTACAAAATTTCAAGCGTTCACAGCAAAATTTTCCTTAAGGGCGTCAGTTTGAAAGCGACGTCCACCTACGGTGTGGTGATATTCACTTGGTGCAATAGCAGAGCTCCTGATTGGACGTCGCTCAAGTACCATGCAAAAGTCAACTGAACCCCAAAAAATTGCCTAATAGGTAGAAGCTAGACTGGCTCCACTTCAATGCGGGCGGGTTAAATATAAAATACGGATTTGGACATGATGTGTCTAAATACAAAGTTCAATAAATTTGTATTGTGCCGATGACTTTTATTTTGATTCCAATTTTAAACATTTTCTTCACTTCACCCACTTTGATGGTGGAACCTCCATTGAGGCTTCTATTTTTTGAAGCAACTTTCTCAAATCTGACTTGACCTTCTAAAGCGACGAGCAGTACTTGAGGGTTCCATTAATGTATCGTATAAAAATCTGGCCAAACTTATTCGGTAGACAGCCACTCTAAAAGCTGTTCAAAATGAATTCGAGCGCATCTTAAAAAACGTTTAACTTCCCTTTATAGACAGATGTTTGATTTTCAAAGCTTTGGACCCTGGAAAAAATTGATAAGTGGGCGACGAGAACGAAACAATTTTTGGGGTGATCTATAAGAAACGTGAGCATCCAAACATCAAGAATATGAGTTCAGTATCTTTTAGTCGAAGTGGTCTTCCCATATAGCATCACGCCATTCGAACGATAATACATCTGCTTTTTTCACTTCGGAACAATTTTCAGAAAGAAGTTATGAGTGTTGAGAATCCAGATTTGTCGTACAATAAGTGACACAAAATTAACGAAAAGCTTACGGCTGTAAGTAGGTAATCATATTTGTATAAAGTTTATCTATTGCAAGAAGGAGCACAGCCCATGGAAGCATATGTATTAGTACAATTTTTCGCCCATTTTCTGGCACTTAAGGCTTGATAGATTTACAAAATCAAAACTGAGCGCTTTTGTAAAAGAGGTGTTCCGCAGAAATTGGGCGCTTTACAAAGTGATATAGGTGTCATGTGGAAAGGCACTTTAACCAAGGTTTCCCTTGTATGCAATCCAATTTTTTCACCGTACCACTGATCAAATATAGTATCTGCAAATACTGCATAGATGGCAAAGATCAGCCTTCAGTACGTTGGCCATGCATAAAAAATGCTACTTCCACTGATGTTGCTCTATTTTTATGTTACAGGAATGGCTACCATGGGAAGCAATTGTAGATGAGATGTACAAAATATATGCAATGTATCGTAGAAGAGACGAAAACGCTTCATATGTATGGGTAAGTATGCGATAATCTCCCTCATTGCTAATTACCATACGAGAATGGAAACATATGCTATTTTTGAATTCTTTTGTAAGAAATAGGTTTGTTAGGTGTTCTTTATGCTGTCCAATCACGGCCTTACGCTCCAAAGTCCTTTCGCCTTCCCGATGGTTTCGGCCGCTAAAATTGTACCATAAATGCTTATAAGATGTGATCTACAGTTTGCATGGCTCTGCGATGATCAACAGCTGCCCGTTTTTAATGTTAATTGTTGGACCCTTTGCAGAAATCCAGAATGCTTCGAGTGCGTTCCTAGCCGAGGTTTCCTTTTCATTTGCCAAGATTTGACGTCAAGAATTAAAGATATAGGAATCGGCGTCTTACCCTTTGCGGTTATGCGCCGAATGCACTCAACTTTACAGTTGAAGAGGGCGTGTGGCCTTTTACGTGATTCACGGGGCCCAGCCGATTACCAAGTCAGTGCTTTTATCTCCTAGATTACTCTGGTATCGAATTACCGGCCCAGGAGGGTAGAGGGCCTGGTTGGCCTGGTTGGCCCAGAGAGGAGAAAATCGCTCCATCATTCGATTCGTTCGTAAGTTGCCAAGAATTGAAAACAGACTTATGCCTTCCATCTGCCAGATGTCGTTTTAACAAGTAGTGAAGATTCCTTCAGTTTGCCTTATATAGATACAATACCGCTCATAATTCGTCAAAAAAGTCGCCGGACTGCGGCGCACTCCGCCACACTCCGCCGCAGTGCACCGGAATGATCGTCAATCTAGCCATATCTCGCTTCAGAATGGACGAATTCTGAATCCGAATATTCCAAATAGAAAATTCCATTTCTGAACCGATCCGGAGCAAACTTGGCACACATACACTTCAAGCCCCGGCGGGTAGGCTACTTACTTACTTCATAGGCTACTTCTCGTCAATATCGATTTTATCGATTTTTATTGATTTTTTTGGAGAGTTCACCTGCGGGGCTGGGAGTGGCACGGGGGAGGGTAAGTGAGTATGGGGATTCGAATACAACATTAGTTTTCAGAATTATCGATTATCATTTTGGTTATCGCGCGTTCAAGAGTAGCTGCAGACTGTCTTCCAAAAGAGATAGAAGGGTTGGTGAATTTTGGAAAAATCACGCATTTCTAAATTCTACACGCCGTAACTTCCTTCGGAATGAACATATTCTGAATCCGAAGAAAGCTTTGTGCTCAGTTCATCAAGGCAAGTCTTTCGATATTCAGCGTATCCTTGATATTCCGATTTCAATATTCTAAATCTTTCTGTAGACGTCTTTTCGCGAAGGTGTAAAGCAGCGCGCATTGCCCCTAGTAGACTTCAGCAAGGACCTTTCGATAGTACTTTTTTTGTAAAATTACGTAGCGCTAAAAAGTAGTCACAGGCACCTTTCCAATAGAGGTAGAAAGGCTGGTAAATCGTAAAAAAAATCTTGTTGTCCCAAATTCTACTCGTCGCAACCCTAGAATACGAGGCTATCTTGCTAAGCAGATGTGAGTTTTGTAATCACCAGGTCGGATAACCCTTATGAACAAGTTTTCCGAGATGTTCGGGTGATTTCATTTTTTCTTGTCTGATGCTCTGAAGCTGGCCGGTGGATTTTGGTCAAAATGTTGATGATCTTCAATTGTAAAGAAACGCCGCTCATAGAGGTTTTCGAACACGCTGCTTATGAAAATCGTGTTCTCTGTCAAGTATAGGGTCTTTTTGCAGAGATATGGTGAGATGACTGCAACGGAATCACGAAAGCTCGTAACTTCGCCTCCACCTCTCACGTATCTGTCAAAAAACCTGCCTGCTTGCTTTTCTAGTCAAAGTTACTAGGAGATGTGCTATCGAGTGGCGCATGACTCAGGCTCCATTCTATAAAATTCGCCGAGTTACGAGTCTACGAAAACACGTTCTCATGAAGTTTGCCCAAAATGTAAAGACCGCAAATTTCCGCAAATTTCGTCAAAATTCCACCGTGAGTGCTTGTACAACACGCTGATCAAATCTTTTCACATTCTTAATGGATCTTATTGTGTTAGATTTGGTGGTTTGAGCTCTAGCCACAAAACAGCTTTGATATTCAATATTGCTGAAGCACACGCAAGCACCATATTCAATACAGTGGAGTCATTGAGCGAAGCGAACATAATATCCGCAATGCGAGTGTCATACAGTATTACTGTCTATGTGTCATCACCGACAGATCAATGATAATACTGTTATCAGCACACTGAATTTAACCAAAATGATAACTGATAATTCTGCAAACTAATATTGTATTCGGAATCCCCATGCTCACTTACCCCCCTGTGCCAACTCCCGGCCCCGTAGGTGAACTCTGCAAAAAAATCGATAAAATCGATATTGGTCGATGACGAAAAGTAGCCTATGACACCCGCCGGGGCCCGAAGTGTATGTGTGCCAAGTTTGGTCCGAATCGATTCAGAAATGGAATTTTCTGTTCGGAACATACGTGCAGACAAACAGATTATGTTCATTCCGAAGGAAGTTACGGCGAGTAGAATTTAGAAATGCGTGATTTTTCCAAAATTCACCAACCTTCTATCTCTTTTGGAAGAGAGTCTGCAGCTACTCTTGAACGCACGATAACCTACAAGGACAGTACTATCGAACAGTGCTTACTGGAATCTTTTATGTTACACAGACGCTGCGTTACATCCTTGCGAAAGGACCTCCACAGAAAAAATTCGAAAAAACTGAAAATGGAATATCGAAAGCATACTGTATATCAAAATATTTGCCTCGACGGTCTGAACACAATGCTGCTTCTGGATTCGGAATATATTCATTCCGAAGGGAAGTTATGGCGTTGCGTACTCTGCGTGATTCGCATGGTTTCGCGGATCCTGAAATGTCGCGAACGTCCCGGATTATCGCGCACTCTGGCGGAAATCTCGGAATTCCGCGAAGTTCACGGAAATTTTGACAGTCTATGGGCGGTATTATTATCTTGAGCAGATCTTAGAACAAATTCAATGAGTGGCTCCCTACCATACTCCTGTAGTATACTGTCTATGTGTCATCAGCGACAGATCAATGGTGATACTATTACCAGCACACCGAATTTAACCAAAATGATAATCGATAATTCTGAAAACTAATGTTGTATTCGGAATCCCCATACTCACTTACCCTCCCCTGTGCCAACTCCCAGCCCCGCAAGTGAACTCTCCAAAAAAATCAATAAAAATCGATAGAATCGATATCGATCGATGACGAAAAGTAGCCTATGAAGTAAGTAAGTAGCCTATCCGCCGGGGCTTGAAGTGTATGTGTGCCAAGTTTGCTCCGGATCGGTTCAGAAATGGAATTTTCTATTCGGAACATGCGTACAGACAAACAGACAAACAGACGTTCAGCTTCATATATAAGATGATGCGTCTCGCCAGCTGAGTCGAACGGTGTCCTCGGATTCAGAATTCGTCCATTCTGAAGCGAGATATGGCTAGATTGACGATTATTCCGGTGCACTGCGGCGGAGTGTGGCGGAGTGCGCCGCAGTCCGGCGACTTTTTTGACGAATTATGAGCGGTATTGTATCTATATAAGGCAAACTGAAGGAATCTTCACTAATTGTTAAAACGACATCTGGCAGATGGAAGGCATAAGTCTGTTTTCAATTCTTGGCAACTTAGGAACGAATCGAATGATGGAGCGATTTTCTCCTCTCTGGGCCAACCAGGCCAACCAGGCCCTCTACCCTCCTGGGCCGGTAATTCGATACCAGAGTAATCTAGGAGATAAAAGCACTGACTTGGTAATCGGCTTTGCCCCTCTGAGGAACACGAAAAAGCGTCGAAACGTAAGGCCGTGTTTGGAAAGAATGACGTACACCTAACAAAGCTATTCGGTACAGAAGCTTTTAGATATTGACTATTATACAGGTTTAGTGGACCTATAGGAATTACAGGACGAAATTCATATTGCATACATCTTCTTTAGAAATACATAAACAGAGTGTTGCGACCGATTGCTCTTGAAATTCGTAAGAAGTTCCTTGCTGAAGAGACAGAATTTGCTAAATATATAAGAAAGCAGAACGAATCTTCGAAGGAGCGCATTACTGGAAGATTGGATTGGAGATCAGTGAGATGGGAATCCAATACTGCTTTGTAGGTTTGAATTGTACCAATTATAACATCATAATTCTTGTTAGCTAGTCGTTAATGCGAAGATGACTTTTAATGAACAGTTTGAACTGGTCGAAAACTGCCGCACGGCAGATCCTATTGAATCGCATGATTGAACGAATATCTTGATACGGTAAGATAAAGTCTGGAGTGAAAATGTCATAAAATGCATTGAAACTGCAGGACAATGTTCTTTCTTTCTACAATCGAAAGATATCGACATCAACTTTTGAGACAAGCTCTGCTGCCAAATCATACCTTCGATTCACAGAGCCATGTACTCTGGTAACCTTCACTTTGGGCGTTCTGATAGAACACAATCTTTACCTGGAGAAAAGTACAGAAGTCTCCGGGGAAAAGCCCCAGATATCAGTGACATAACTAACGACATAATCATGTAGGGATAAATGTGAATGAGGCGAATATAGTAGTGAGATCCAAAAAAAGCTCAATAAACCAAAAAATCGCCTTTTTGTGGCCTTTCTTTGCTGAAAAGAAGGCCATAAAAAGGCCATTTTTCCAAAAATTTTGATTAAAAACTAGGACAAAACTCTTCAAGTAACCTTTTCCGAGACTGCGATTGAGCGTTGAAAGTTCATGAAAGCCGCTCGAGTTTGATAAAGACGAGAAACTGCGCTCAAATTTTGCGCAGAGGGTCGCCACATAAATGCTGGTCTATGTCGCTATAGAGTAATTTTCAAAACTCGCGACGTTATCAGTGCTCCTGGCCGTCTCATGAGGATCACAACGATATAGAATATTATAGGGTTTCGTTATCACCCCGCGGACTTCAATGACCAAAGTCAAATGCTGCGCCGGCTCTGGTCTGTCTCCACTGCTTGTTTGCGACTCGGCGCGTTACGCACTACCTCGCTACCTCAAACACTAAGTGCGGGGCATTTGACTCTGCTACCCTTTTCTTCGTTGTTCCGAGCCCAGTTACGACATTCTATATATTAAATCAAAGCTCTTGATCTCTATTTTCACGCTAACATTGTCGCAAGACTCCTTTTTATGATTTAAACAAGAAACCTGAAAAAACGGCGTTTTCGAAAACCTCTTGTTTTTTCCTCAATCTAACCCTTTTCAGTCGTTTTTTTGTGTATTGGATAGGTCTTGTTCCTGTCTATGATGTAGACAATGTCGTCGAGCTTACTTCTTTGCTTATGTCGGTTTTTTTGCGAAAATTATTAAAAAGTGCGCTTTTCCTCACCTTGATCTCCTTCTGTGCTTTCTCAACAGACTTTCTCCAGCTTGGACAATACTTGCTCAGAATGATTAGCGGAAAAATTCAGACAACGTTGCAGGATACCAAACGACTATGCGGGGGTGAAAATTTAAAGGACCATTAAAAATTAGATTGGCGTCGATGTGCAACATATCTTTTCTGACCTGTTTAACATGTTCAATTCAGTTGTTAACATGTTTTCCTTCTTCCACAGCTAAACAGCGCTTTTTTAACTGGAAAAGATTTTTGTTCTTGTTGTAAGTCCTCTTGTCTTTGAAGCTTGGCATGTTCTTGCACGTGAATAATTTTAATTGTTATGTTATGCCGTACAGGTTGTTATAGATGATATACTTCATTGCCCGACGTTTAGGCAAGACGCCGTTTTCAAAGGGTGAAAAGGCGTCAATCACATTGATACACGATCTCTGCCGCCAAATATCTCCACTTTTCATACTTTGTTCTTGTTGCCACCCAATCTATCCGGCAATCCTGTAAAGGAAACTGTGCCTAAAAAACCACCAAGTTAAGCTTTCAAACTTGATGATGTGCCAACCTCTGCTTTACATGAATTTTTCGCGTTTCCTGGTTTAATTCATATTTTAAATATCCATCTATATTTCTGAAACAACCTTCACTTTTTATAAGGGGCAGGAACTCCAATAACTATCACTTTCTGAGTTCTGTCTCTTGACTATCGAAGGTACGTGTCAAACACAGTTAGTCCAGAAGTAATGAGCGTTTTTGCTGCTAAACTTGTCTAGAATGGGGTTTTTTGCTTGTCGGCGATTGCCCTCGTAAATGAACTTCTCCATCGTAAAGCAAGCGCCGCTCAAAGAAAATTTTATATCTTGAAGATTTAGTGTTCCAAACTTTACGCCTTTTATCCATTCATGAGTAACTATCGCCCTTTGTACATATTGATTATAAGTATCTGCCGTATCAAGCTTTTCTAATTTCTTGTGTATCTCTTGAACAACTCTCATGCAGCCACTTGTTTTTCTCGAATAAATCTCCTTTGCATGAAAACTTTTCAAAGTTGTAAATCATCCAGTGAAACAGTGCTAAATATGTTTTCGATAAGAATGAATAAGCTTTCAAAGGCTGAAAAGTTTGATAAAACTCGAGAGCTGTGGTTTATAAAACTTTGAAATTTTGCTGACTCATGCTTTTTTAATCAAAAAATGCTTAGCACTGTTTGGCTGAACAATCAATTCAACTTGAGATTCAATTTTAAAAGAAAAGAAGACTATGAAGAAAAGGAGGTTGACAAGGGTGTGGTGCAAGAGGAACAGTAGTAATTGCCAGCTGCTGCTTCCAATGCACTATTTGTCTCACAATGCGCAAATTTCGAACTTCTGAAAATTAGCGGAGTTGAATGAAATGCTTTGCTTGATAAGTTCTGCTTAGCGCCTGATGATAAGTGCAATTTGGTGATGTTACTGAAAAGAAAACATGAAACCTTTGTAGTTTGAGACCTTTTTTGTGATATTTTCAGCTGATTTTCACACCTTTTTTCAAGCAATCAGAATCTTTCTAATTCTTCTGTCAAGATGAAAGCATAAGAGAAGAAAATACTTCTAATTCCTGCGTGCTGATGGGCAAAAATGACAGTGAAAGATGCGCGAGTATCGACAGCCACCAGCTATCTTTCCTCATGCTTGTCACTCAGTTGGTAGCTGAGGATCATCAGATGTCCCCTTTGATTCAGCTGGCTTGGCGGCTGAAAGGCGGACTTCCGTGACCTAAATAAGTATGAATGATGATCAGAGAGCACGCTCGCGAAAGAAGCAGGCGCATGCGGCCTTTTAGGTAAAAAGCCCCGCCTTCCAGCAGCCAAGCCAGTTGAATCAAAGGTAGATTGCGCGAGATTTGAATCTCAAGGGCTTGAGGTACAAAGCCTTCTTTAAAGCTGTACTTCCTCTTCTGGCCTGTATGTTCATTTACGCATGAGTCCCTGACAAGGGAAGGATACTAACTAAGATTCGCCCTTTGCTGCTTAGCGCTGTTCTGAAGCGAGTTATGGGTTTGCTGTTGTGAGTAAATAACATGCTTCTAAGTATCGTAAGACAGCGTGTAAATAGAATCTGCTCGAAAAAAATGCTAGGATGTTAAACTATAACTATGTTCGTTTACGCATGAGTCTTTGAGTTATTTCCCTGTGTTGCTCTCCTACTAATCCTCCCCCTCCTCCGCCACTCGGCACCATTTTACGTCCATCTCAGGGCGAAAACTGACTTATCGCATTATTCTAATCGCGATATCAAGTTGAGCTGGAATTGAATTGGAAAATGAATTTTCAAAAAAAAGCGTCAAAAATCAAAACTAGTAAAAGAAGTACCTTCCTGTACCAGTAAAAAAATAGTCTTTGATTTTGCTCGGTGTCCAATAACTATGTGGGCAAAGTTTGCCGGCTTGCAGATAAACTTCTCCGTCGTAAAGCAAATGCCGCTCAAACGGTCGTTGCTGCGTTCACATACTATACGTTCACAAACACATCACATACTTCATACGGTCTCTAGCAAGTTCCACAGAATAAATTTCGAACATTTGCGCCAAGATTCATATCGAAGTTTGAAACTAGAATTTGGAAAATAGACAACCGCAATATTGAAAAAAAGACCCCATGCGCACGCATATACTGTCTATATGAAATTCGCTGCAGGTTGCGCGACTTTCCTGGCTGCCGAGAAAAACAAGTTTGGTTTGCTTTTAATGAAGCAATTCTGGGCTGCTCCCACATACGCAGTTTCAAACTTCAAATTTCATATATCGTCAAACCTTTTGAAGACGGGTTCAGGAAGATGCTTAGAATTAGTATCATACAAAATCATCACATATTTTTTAAAGAAATTTTTACTTGTTTTTTCTTTTTTTTAGCTTCGTTGGATGGATATGGGATAGCATACAATTTGTTTGTTCATCTGAAAAACTTACGTCGGTTGCCGCGCAATGTGCAGGCTCACATCTTGAATTACGAATGTCTCAACGATATGTAGAAATTTTTTCCCGTGTTCCTCCAGCCTCTTCCCATTCTCCTGCGCTTTCGTGATTTATTCTTTGTAACTTCAGCGCTTACTGCTTTGCAGAAAAAGCCAAAGTTTACATATGAAATGCGTCACTTTGAAACAAATGTTGTATTCTATGCCATCTTCCTGCCCTCAATGTGCCTGGCAAAGTTTGGTTTGCATTAGCTAGGAATGAAACGTTCTCTATGGAACATGCGAACAAGTGGACACAAACTGACAGAGCTTTACCTACAAAATATGCTGAATAATCGAAACTGTCTTCATTTGCTCACGACGGAGGTCTCCTGCTCCCCGCCCACTTGCACGTAATCTCCACTAAATGCGGGAATAGAAAGCTTTGGAAAAAGCTCATTTTTGCCATTTTTATGCGCTTAAAAGCACAGACATGGGTTCATCATGGCGAGAAGGCTCCGAAAAGGTGAAAAGAAATTTTGCCAAGACATTGTCTCTACGTTGGGGTCGTTCTCTCGTTAGAGGAAAAAAGGCTAGCTCTCCAAGTAACCCTCAGGGGTATCTATACAACAAAGGCAGTGTCCGGAACAAGGTCGGGGATCTTGGGATATCATTCATGCGAAGCGGTTTCCTTGCGGACATGGCATCGCGCAAGTGCAAGGCCATGAAGTGTAAGCAGGAGCGTACAATTAGAAAAAGAGAATTAACGCACTGCGCATGTCCACCTGCGGATTTGCTGCTCTGTGGCAGATTACGCATGCCGTCACAGTCGAGTTCTAG